CCACTCCCACGTTGTCCCGTCCCATCAGGGACAACAGAGCACCCGCTAATGAAACCTAGCCCCAGCCTCCAGCCCTGCCACAAGCACCCCATCACCCAGGCAGGTGAGAGGCACGCCTGGATCCGGCCCGTGAATTGAGGCAGTAAATCTGATAAGCTATCAGCTAGCACCACGATTAGTCGGATAATTAAGGACAAGGAGGCAGATTTTGAGCTTATTTGCCACTGGTGTAAATACAGAGTAAGTGACCTGGCTGCTCCTGGGGATCAAGAGGAGCTGTGACCCCTGCAGCCAGCGCATTAAATGCACGATGGTTCCTCTTCTTTAAAAAAAAAAAAAAAAAAAAGAATAAAAATTCACCCCCCAGCATCTCAACGCTAACTGCCGGCATTGCAGGGCGAGAGGAGGAAACGAGACCATCTGGCAGGGCTTTGGCACAGCCCAGCTCAGCAGGGAACGGGGACTCGCCAGAGTCGGGGCGAGGGTTTGGGAGGCACAGACACAAGGCGGGTTCCTGCAAACAGTCTCCGCACACCTGGCAGAACAGGCTGAGCTATTCTGAGCTCCAGCGCCCTAGAGGAGGGAGGAAAAATGAGTTGGAGGAAGGTTAGGAGCAAAGCAGCAGAGGTCTAAGCTAAGTTACAGCAGTTTTGGTTTGGTTAAAGCAGACAAGACAAACCCCATCCTGCCTCCCGGGGTCCCACTATCAAACTTCTGCTAAGCTGGCACCCCAGAAATTGCCAGGCCACCAGCATAGGCTGGAGCACCCCTCAAGGACCACTTCTGGCTGAATTCAACCCCTACTGAAGCTCCAGCACCCATTTCCTACCGTGCTGCCAGCGATGCTGTAACCAAGCCCCACGCTGCCTCACACAGCCCAAAGGAGGCATTTGCACAGTCTCAGCACCCATCACCCCACAACCAGAGGGTCACCCACCCTCAGCAGATACAAGGAAGGAATTTTGGGATGGGTTTCTCGCCCCCACTGCACCAGGCAACCGCAATCCCCAACAAACCTGACTGTAGAGGGCCAGCAGGATTGCTGAATACCCCATACCCACACACCCCAGCTCACTTTCACTGTATCTCCAATGGTTCCCAGTCTAACTTGTCCCTACCAGTCCCCAAGCGCAGCCAGACCGTGCTGGATCATGCTGGGGCACGGCTGCAGCTCTCCAGGGAGTGCAGCCACGAGAACACGCTGCCCCGAGAGCAGCAGGGGGATGGCACAGCCCTGCACTGCAGGCACGAGCTGGGACCACAGCCCCCAGACCCTCCCCATCAACACCCTGTGCCCCTCTACCCTCTCTCCAACTCTCTTCCCAGCCCCAAATCCAAAGCAAAAAAAGGAAGGAGAAAAAGAAATAATAAAAACTAAAACAAATGAAAACCAAACCAAAAAGCAGCAGTTGGGAGGCAGCCTTGTTAGGACAACTCAGCAAAATAAAATTCCGGTTTATTGTTGGACAACATTGTTTCACACATACATCAAACAGGCCAAAAAAAAAAGAAAAAATAAAAATAAACAGCAACTTCATAGACAGAAAAAAAAAAAAAGAAAACCTTTTTATCTTTGGCCTTGCCACCTCATACAAACCACGATCTATGGTACAGCTAAAGTACATACACAAAAAAAGTTACTGGAATGCTCAGAATAAGATTGTAAATTTTTTTTTTTGCATTTTTGTCTTTTTTTTTAAATTTTTTTACAAGGTTTTGTTTTATTCTCCTTTGAGATAATGGTTTGGGCCTGGTCACACCACAAGTAAAGTCAGAGATAGGTAACAAGAGATATACACTTCAAAGCCCCCCTTTTGGTCAATCCGAGATCACTTAAAAATGGCGGACCTCCTAACAATATGTACAAAAATATAAAATGTAAATAAAAAATACAAACAAATTCTCCTTTAAAGTACTTTTAAGAAAGAAAGCAGGGCCTTGAAGTTTTGGTGCTTGGGGTGAGGGGGTCTGTGGGGGAAGGGGGGGTTTTCTCTCCCCGCTAACGGGCGAATCGTTTCGTATGTTCGTTGAGTGGCAGCGCCGCGCCGGGGGGCCAGGGACTGGGTTCACTCTACTTGGTGAGGATGACCACGGCGGAGGGGGGAGGAAGGGCGTGTGTGTGTGTGTGTGTAGGGAGGGCGTTGCAACGGGAGGGAAGGGGGATCCCAAGGGTGAAGAGGACGCGCTGGCCTTTTTTGTTGGTTTGTTTTCCTCCTTATTTAAAAAAAAATAATAATAATTTGCTGCCTAGTCATCTTCATCGGTTTTCTGCTTCTTGGGATCAACGTCGTCGTCCTGGGGGGAAAGCAAAGCCGTCAGGAGAGGGGGCAGGGAGCAGGGCTGCCGGGGGGCTGGCAAGAGCCACATCAAGGGGGGCAGCAAGGCAGGAGGGGGTTTCAGGTCCCTTTCCCACCTCAGAGACAAGGACAGAGCAACACAAGTGTTCCCCCACCATGTGCAAAATCCCTCCAAGGGAGCCACCGAGGACCCCCACCCTGGCCTGCCATGAGCACCCTGGGGCTCCCCAGCCCAGGGCCAGCAGCTCCACGCAGCGGGAGCAGACACCCCCCTAACCAGGCCAGCATGTAAACGGAACCGGGCCGCACCCCCGGAGAGCGCACCGGCAGGGCGTTCCCGCCCCAGAGCCCAGCCTGGCCTCTCCGGCCCCACCGCCACTCGCCCCGAGCCCTCTGGGGACACAGGTTGGTTGCTGGTTGTTCTTCCTACCTCGTCGTCCTCAGCTGCCCGTTTGCCTGTGGCTCCCTCAGCTTCGTCGTCTTCATCACCATCTTCTTCCTCACCTGCATGGACAAGGAGAGGAATATGAGACCCTCCAGGAGAGTTACAGCACCGTGCACCTCCCCTCTGGTTCAATTCTGGCTCAGCCCCACACTGCGACGCTCAGGGTCCCGTCTCCCCAGCTGGCACAGCCCCTGCTCAGGGCAGCAGCTGCCTGAGGACACGGGGGGCTTTCGGAGCAGCCCCCAGCTGACTTGACCCAAAGGGGAAACAAAGGATTTGCAGCCCTGAGCCTGGCTCACGCCGCGTTTGCGGCGCAGGCGACAGGATGGCAAAACCAGCACCTACCGCGAGCACCAAAAAAATCACAGCAAAAGGGAGAGGAAAAAAAATTCTTTCTAGCAGCTGCTCCGCCTAACTGCTCCAGATTACTTCTGCTTCCCTTCGCAGCTATTAGTCCATCTTTAATGAGTTAAGAGAGCCAGAACGCATTAGTTCTGAGTCAGAACACTTTCTAATTATCAGAACAGCAAACAAATGCTACCAACTTATCTTACAGCCAGCGAGGAGGATGAGCAGAGAGCTCTGGGCTTTGACCCACTTTGAGCTCAAATAGGCCAGTGGATCAGAACGACAGAGTCCATCGCCTTTGGCCAGTTTCGGGGGGTCAGGGGCAAGACTGAAGGCCCCAGAGGAGGAACAACCTCTTGGCTGCCGAGACGAGTCTCTTGTGTAACAGGAGACCCTACTAGAACTTAGAACATTAAGGCCAGTAAGCTGGCTTTAAACTACCGCCACGAGCCACACGTATAGACAGCCGGGGGGATTAAGGTCAGCCCATCCTCCCTTCCCCTCTCCTCTCCCCGGCGTGTGCCCAGTCGCAGCGTGGCCCATGTGGCGGGAAGGGCCAAGATTAGCTCCCAGCAATGGATCAACACCCCGGCAGCCATCACATGCACCGGGCCGGCCGGTGGGTCAGGTGACAGCACCAAGCTGATTGGGAGCATTTTTAGTTCTTTGAGCTGCTTTAAGCAAAGCAAATAATGAGATGGGATGGGGAGAAGGGTGAGAAAAACATACCCTCAAGCTCCCCTCTGCTGTCAAACTCCAGGATGGAGTTTGGCTGCAAGAGCTGGGAAAAAAGCTGATGCAAGCTGCACTCGCTGCCTTTAAATCTCTCTCCTGCAGCGTTCAGGTGCAGCTCTCGGGCAGGGATCACCCGAGGGCAGCAAGCACGGACAGACAGAGCCCATGCAGGATCCCGGCGAGGCGTTCGCGCCTCCGAGCGCTG